ACCTAATAACATTTACAAACGTTCTTCTTAATCAATAGTATGTGTATTGAAATAGCTGTTATGTGTTTCCATGACTTCAGTGATTGTTTTACTTAGATTGGTTAGTACATTCAATTAAATATCAGTTTAGTCAAGCTTTACATACCTATTGGCAACTTTATTACTTCTGCCATTATCGATAAAGTCATTTAATTCACTGTTAATTCTTTCATTCATGTACTTAATAGTCGTCAAGAATTTTAAACCATCTTGAACCATAACTATAATCATAATTATTATCACCGTTATTATATAATAATAATAATTTTTTTTTCTGGTTAGCGTTGTTTAGCAAGTTAATTTTCTACGGGATGGGGTTGCTAACCCCATGCCCAACCTTCCTCCTTTACCCGGTATTAATGTCTAATTTCGAGAAATCCATGAAATTGAACAATCGTTGAAGAGTCCCACAAGAGCACGAAACAGTCATCCAGTGTTTTCAGGTATTCCATGGTGATCTAGTTTCAATTGACTCAGGATTTCAACTATCAAATTCAACTATTCATATTACATCATAATTGAAACCCATCATTATCAAAAGAAGATTTCAATTTCAAAATATTACCATGGCAACCAGTAATGCAACGTATAAAATTATCATTTCATTATATAAAAATAGAATAAATACATAATCTAATGATTAATAACTTACTCTATGAGTTTCATTATTATGATTACGTCGTTCAATCATCTTTCTTATATAATAATAATAATAATAATAATAATAATAATAATATGTGTATTCCTCTCTTATTCCAATTAATTGGCAACTATAATGATTAATTGTTTAAAATATCCTTTTATCATTTAATATTGTGTCAAATAAAAAAGAAGAAAGAAAAAAAAGAAAGAAAAAAAAGGAAAGAAAAAAGAAAAATTTTAATTTTGATCAGACTCAATATTACAAAAATGTGTTGAGATGGAAATGAAAAATCCAAGAAGAAACTTTTTTTTGTGTACTGTAGCTTCTCATTCCTTTATTGTTATTGTTCCTTTATGAAGAAGAAGAAGAAGAAGCAGATGATGATGACGATGACGATGGTGATGATGGTGAGGATAATGATGATGAGTAAGAAGACAAAGGAGGAGAAGAAGCAAAAACAAGAACAACTTTTGATATTTTCATGTACCTCTATTATAGATTGTTATGATAAAGTTTAAATAGAATTTTATAATTTACATCATTGGTTAAAAGAAAAGAAAACTCATTTTTGTAAGAAAAAAATATATTGGTTTATTCAATATGTCATTAATTATTATTAAGCATATAGTTCAAATCATGAATCAATTGAAACAAGATCACCATGGAAAATCTGAAAGAACTGGACGGCCGTTTCGTTCTATTGTAGGACTAAACGATCCCGCCTCGTGAGATTCGAACCCGGGACCCACCAGTCTCGCACGCGAGCGCCTAACAATTTAACCACTGACTCGGAATCAACTATATAAAATTACTAAAATCTCCACAAAACCCCTTCTGATCAATATTAGGCTTATATAATTACTTACTAAAAGATAACACATTATGAAGTAATCTTATTCTGAGCGAAGATGGATAGTGGATAGCAGTGGAATCCAGGACAGGCGTTTCGTTATATTGGGGCCTCGTCAACTGGATTTACCTGCATCTCAGAGTTGATTTTCACTCTCGAACTCGAATCCAGTACCGTTCGCTCCAAACGCCATGACGTTGTCCATTTAGCTATTGAGTCCTGATAATCACTTGTTTGTGCAATTAGATGAAGTATAAATTCACTTGGTATTGTTTGTTTGGATCTTCTCATCAATGTTTAAGACTTAAATTGTTCCGTCTCTTATGGTAGCTTCTCACCATTGGCCTTTCGACCAGGCAAATATACCAATTATCTGAACCTGCGCTTTCTCTCGTACTAAACAGGATTACCATAGTAACGGCCAGATTGTACTTCACTGATGTACTCATTAGTAGAATAAAACTAACCTGTCTGACGATGATCTAAACCAAACTATATCGAAGCAATCTGCATAGTATGCACATATATTAATAAGAGACTGATCATTTGCAGTCCTAAACATTAATGGGAAGATTCAAACAAACAATACCAAGTGAATTTAATCTTATTCTGTTTTCTTTTAATAGACTATTCTATCTACCCACATAGTATAATTGCCAATATTATAGCTTTGATAAAATATACCATTTGAAAAACTTTTCTTCCTTAAAATGTTTCCTTTAATTTTAATAGATGAACGTATGAAGTACACTCATATGAGGAAATAGATAGTCATCAAGAGTGACACTAAATAATCTTCTCACTGTACTACAAATTAATCCAAGATAACGATACGGACAACTGGATTTTGAGCTAATTATCTAAAGTAGGTATCGTTACCATGGTTTGACTTAATAAATTCAAATAAATTTGGCATAGGGTAGGATTTTATCAATAAAGATCTCTCTTGCCCTTAATCTTTTTAGAAGAGCTAACAAGATTATCACATCTGAAGAGGATAAATAAAAACTGTACGAAAGCATGTAATTAACATCTTACAACTTAATAATTTTCTTATGAAGATTATTAGAAGTGTAATAAAACGAGATGTTTCAGTGCAAAATAATAATTCAAATGAAATATTATGGATTGGTACTACAGTTTTGCCATACCACCATGGTACAACAGAACAATTCCAAAGAATCTTAAAACAACACAGAAATAAAGTGTACTAAAAAAAAAACGAACACACTTTGAGTTACTTTAATTCGCTGAAAAGAAAAACTCCCTTTCATGTCAACACAGAACTGTGTCTACAAATTAGGATGTGTCGATTTTGATGGCTTCTACATTTTAGAGTCCTCTAGCGAAATCTTGACTCAAGCCATAGAACATCTTAGGTACACAAAGAAACCACCTAATAATCTCGTAGAACTAGATAGAGTTCAAATTAAAGTGCCTATAACATTTCACATCGTTTTCAACAACCATCAAGTCGATATCAAAAACATCGAAATATTACGAAACAGCTTTTCGGATTACAGAGGAAAGAGAGTAGCTGAAGCGTTCCAAATAAAGCTTAATCCAATTGCTCTCAATAGAAAAGAAGACCTAACTATACATTCGACTTGGATTATCTATCCAAGCTACCATGTCTGATATCATTCATATTTCACACTATTATCGTACATACAAATTAAACTTTATCCTTTCTCACCACAAAGGCTACATTTTTTTATCCCTGACCATACATACATATACATACACAAATTCACATATATGTCACTTATAAATCACCCTTACCGGAATGATATGACATTGACTTGTACAAATCTGTTTCTTGATTGATCACACCCAATATTCTTGTTTTAATCCATCGTACTATTTTGATTTGGTTATTAATTCTCTGAAGAAGTGGATTATACTGAGTCACGAAACTTCAGAAAATTTAATTTTTCTACTCATTCGGACATTATAAATATATTATTTTGATTTATAATGATCTAAAGGTGTCATTATAAGACATGAAACTGTAAGTAACGGATTCCTAATCCAATCAAAGATGATCAGTGTATACAATACAGATGCTATAAATTATAATATAATATCTCATTCATAATCTCTTGTTTATACCAGCACCATTGTAAGGACGGCCCGTCGGTAGACTCTAGAAAACTCTAGGAAGCCCAGGAAGAGCCGTAGACATTCCATCCAATCATGGCTAGGGGAATGTTCGAGAAATGCCAACGTGGAGCTTCTCCATTGGATGGATTAGTTTGATACCTATGTGCTTATTGGTTCACCTAAATGATAATTTATTTTCAGCCAATAACTATAAATACGCGAGATTTCTGTGCTATATTTTGACATTGTTCGGGGCAATAACTTCCTGCTTACCAGTCTTTGTCTTCTCTCTCTTTGCGACGTTTGCGTGTTCTATCGTTCAAGTAGTCAAGTAGTTCGCGGCATATTAAGAATCAAGGCTCTAGATATAACACCCATACTATATGATTATTGAACTTTTTCCACATTTTCTTTACATAATATAAACCTCAAAAGTTCGGAAAATTAATTAACATTCATAACGATCCGTAGCGACCTACTTCTGTGATAAGAACGCGATTGGTATGATTGAAACAACTATTACTATAACCAATTGTACCAGTGATTGCTTCACTGTACCTGTTCGTTTAAGTGTACAAAACACACACTTTCTTCCGTTTCCTGTAACCTTACATGAACTCGAGTACACTCGGTAGTTTGGCTTGTAAACTTTGGCGTGATCTTGGTATTCTTTCGATACCACGAGATCGTCAACAAATATCTCTTATTGCAATCGTCAACTGCCTTCTGTTTTATGGCATATGGATGAATCTAGCCCAATATCTGACACGTAATCTTCCTGTAGTGGTAATCATAGTCGTATAGCAGCTCACATACAATTGAGTTTGTTTACATCTAATTTGGCTAAGCCCTTTTGTTAACTTATTTAACGGACAGTCATTCGTACAACAACAACAACCTGTCTATACTATTGTACCTTTATTATGTATGCTTGAGCACTGCTTACTGCCTAAACATGTATTCATTCTGCTAGCCTTACTATTAATCACTTAACTGATTCGATAATTCATTCATTTCACTATGTATATATGTATATCTTATTCCTGTTCACTGTACGATACTCGCTTACTCGCTGACTTGGTCAATTAATCTCTCACTCACTCGCCTGCTTCACGGCACTTCTCTTTCATGCTTACTTAACGTGCCTGTAATTTTTAGATATTTGTGTGTGGTCCAATAATAAACCCAATCAACCATTCGTATACGCCTTCTGACTTACACACTATTGGGGCGTTATCGAGTAACGGTTATCAGGACGAGCAATATACTAAGTTTAAGGATAATATCGAATACAGACTACCACAGTCGATCGCAACTCGACGCCAACTACAGATCTTTGCATATCATTACTAATGTACAAAACCATTTGCATATATATATATGATAATAATAGTATAATTATTAATAGTGTAATAAAGATATAGAATTTTGTCTGTACAATTTAAAATCGTTTTAAATGACAATTAGAATTTACAAAATAATAATACTCAATGAAGTAATAAGTAGAATGATGAATCCGTACAGTGTCCCGTTTACCTACTTAACAATACCATTATATATATTAATTAACAAGAGAAGGTATGTATAGTTATAGTAACTCCTTGGAAATTACAACGAAATTATAAATGAATATATGTACTTGAGATGATAGAGAAGATTTATAGCTCAAATGGATGATTTTGATGAAGTCTTGTCCTCTGAACTGAATGGTTTGGTTATGGAACTTTCATCATCCCTTCTGAACAACATCATCAGCACAAACTTCAGATAGAAGTGAAGTGTTCAAATTTTTCCACATGTGATTCGACCCAAATTTTATGCTGACGATGTCATTCAGAAGGAACGATGAAAGCTCCAAGACTAAACCATTCAGTTCAGAGAACAAATCTCCATCATAGAAAAAGAGCATAAATACTGATTAAATATGATATGGATTAAATATAAATTCATGTTTATAATAAACTATTTCTTTTTCGAAAAAAATTTAAAGTTTAAACCGGATTTTTTTGGTTGAGGAATTGTGATAGAAGGTGGTTTTTTATTCAATTGTAATTGTGATGTTGTTATTGTTTGATTCATATTAACTGGTATAATAAAAGATGATGTTTGTTGTTCTATTGATGATGGACTATTACTTACGCTTTGATGTTTACGAGATAATGTATTTGATGTTTGTGTTAATGATGTTGATTGAGTTGTTATAGGTTTTGAATTAGTTTGTTGTTGTTGTTGTTGCTGTTGTTGAGATGAAGAAAGTTGAGTTACTGTTTGGTTGGGTGGTGTTGGGGGTAGTTTTGAAGTCAGAATAGATTGTGATCCAATGAATCTATTAGAGTTTGGTGCTTTTATCCCACTTGTTGCTAAAGTAGGACTAGTTGCTCTTAATTTAAGATTGGAAAGAATTGAAGCAGGCCCACCTGTTGTTGTTGTTGTATTCAACTCAGATTCTGTACTTGTTATTACTTCAAGATTAGGTGATACAGATGTTGATTTTTTCTGTAATAATAGACTTGGTGACACTGCTAAACTTGTTAATACACTGGGAGGATTTCCACCAGGAAGAATACCTTTACCGCTTGATGTAGCCTGTCCATTCATTTGACGTGGTTTTAAACCTTTTGATTGAAGACAGAGACGAGCTGCTGCATGAAAAATAGTTTGCACTTCTTTATAGGTTTCAGTAACAGTTATTTCGTAATATGGAATTCCATGAGATTTTGCAAACTCTTCAGCTTCTGCTTTTTGTACTAATCTACACAAAGTTTAGATAAAAAGGAAGAAATGATGTACTTCTATGAAGTTTTATTGAATTGTATTCAAACATACAATACAGCAACAAATTCAATGAATAGGTGTAAATCAGTGATACATTAGCACTAGACAGTCATACAAAGTGATTTGTTCACATATTTTTGATCGATCTATCTTACTCGATAAGTTTTATTATTTTCACTTAACTTCTGTCACATCGATCCGACTTTATTTGACGTAAAGATGATCATTTTAGTTTTTTTTCCTCTCTTCATCCTGATGCTACATTTATTGGTTTAAATTACCTGATAAGTTCGTTTATAGACGATAAGTGACTGACTAACAGTCATTCATAGTCAGGATTCAACAAGGCTACGTGCTAGTATGACTAACAAATTTTACTCATGAATATTCCTTTTATTCAGGTAATAACCAGGTAAAATTAGGAAAATAAAAATTACTTCGATTTAAGTCGTCATTGTAACTTCTCCTGTTAAGCGAGATGTACTCTGACGCAATTATCAGTATTATTAAATAGATAGCCAACTTTAATACGATGGAACCACAGAAAATGCTCCAAACGATTATTGACTTAATAAGCAAAGATGTATGGTGGTTAGCAGTGGAATCCAGGATGAGGATTACGTCTTATTTAGGACTCGTCATCTGGATTCACCTGCATACGAGAGCAGATGTTCATTCCGAGACTCGAACCCAGTAGCATTCATTTCAAGTGCCATAATGTTATCCCCTTAGTTACTTAGTTCATTTAGCCACTAGCTTGTGCAATAACAGACAGATCAATTACAATCCTTAACATCAATGGGTAAACTCAAGCATTCAATACAAAAATGATTTGATTTTTTTCAGCTACTTATAACTATATATAGTAGTTAGATGTAATGATTGAAAGTTTTTGTGAGCTGTAGATTTGCTACCAAACTTAGTCTACGTCATAAAAATAGTGCTTTGAAAACTAGCGTTCAACAAAAGTTTCTGTTTCTTAGCGAATTCATTTTTATGGTTACTTAACCATGGATACAAGCTTTCTGAGTAATAATAAACAATAATCTACATTAGTTAATGAACGTAGTGTCTACATTAATGCTTCTTAACTGTTCAATCTATTTTACGTTTTTCTTCTTTATACTTACCGAAATCGTTCCAAATCTGATTTATTTGCAACAAGTATTATACTTGGTGGTTTGACAGTATTTATAGTGTATAAAGCTGAACGTCTCAACGAACCAGATTGTGTTAAACTGTGTTGTGTAATAATAGAATTAGGATTTACTGTTGAGACTGATGAATTACTTAATGATGTAGATGATGATGCATTTATTTGTTGAGAATTGTTTGATTTCGATTGTTGAGTTCCTGATAGTTTTGGCTTTCTGTCCATTAATTCAGATTGTGAATGAATTGCTTCAACAAGTTCTTGTGCACGATAGAAACTTCGGCGACTTGTCATAGAAAATAATATAATAATCGCCTGTGACCATTTAATGATATCGTCTAGATCAATTTCATCCTGTAAAATGAAATGAAATCAAAGTAATCGTTCATTTGAACTCAATTTCAATCGTTTATTTATTGTGCTAACTATAACGAAGCAATTATAAATCATTTACGTATAAGTGTTATATCTAACATCTAGCACAAGCTTTACTTTGTCAACTCAAAGACTATGATTACAATCGACTTAGTTGAGGTGAATTTTATGAAATCCTTTGAAGCTGTCATTAAAATACACTTACAACAACACAATAATTATAAGAGACTAAATTAATGATATAAAATTTGAAGAGGGTTTTGTAGAGATTATAGTAATTTTATGTTTAAATTCCAGAGTCAATTGAAGCTAGATCACCATCGAAAACCTGGAAGCACTGGACGGCCAACTCATCCTATTGTAGGACTCTTCAGCAGCGCGCATCCACGATCCCGCCTCACGAGATTCGAAACCAGAAGCTACCGAACTCGCGCCAAAGCACTTAACCTAGGATGCTAAGGGGTTCCACAATAGAACGAAACGGTCGTCCAGTGCTTCCAGGTTTTCCATGGTGGTCTAACTTCAAGTGACTGATGATCTCAACTATATAAGATATAATATTTGTTAATTATGTTAATTATAAGACGAGGTTTTGTGGATATTATATTAATTTCAATAGTTGAGATCATGAGTCAATTGAAGCTTGACCACCATGAAAAACCTGGAAGCACTAGACAACCTTTTCGTCCTCTTGTGAGACTCATGATCTCAACTATTGAAATTAATATGTTAATTATGCTCGAATCTAGGTTATGAACGATTATATACAAGTTCTAAGCTCGATTTCTAGTAAAATGATAGGCAAACACTAATTAGGAATCGAATTATTAGATGAAAGATTTGTCCAATTCTAACTGATTATCATTATTAGTGACGGAAATCATCAAAGAATATGTTAAGTGCGGTAAGATATATTGTTTATTGAAATCACATAAATTTACATTTATATATGTACTATTGTAGTGCTCTATATCGAATATATATAGAAGATATGCTACTTCTGCCTAACTACAATAAACCTATTTAATTATTCTTAAATCCTTTGAAGAAAGAAGTATTTCCGGTGGATGATCATTTACAAACAAAAAAATGTTGCACATATAATTAAAACTATTTCTATATCTTAGAAACGTTTTGTTTGTTAGGCTAAGATATACTATCAGTATTTACATTGTGTAAATCAAATGTTCAAATCGAACATTGTTAAACAATTTACATACTAAGAAATTGTTTGCTTTGTATTGTGGTGTGGTCTACTTATATCTATATAAGTAGTATATGGTGTGGGTCAGACATAGAATGTATTTTCGCAGAAGACCGATGACGAAAGAACTAAAATGAAGCGCAATCGTTTGGAAAATGCATGAGCAACGGAATAAGAGAAGAAACAGTGAAGATTGAAACAATTGGTTGTTAATTTGCAAATTGACTGTTCATTGTTTGGTAATCAGAATTTACTGAGATAGTCTGTAACGTTTGCTTAAATACATTCGATTGTCCCCAACCAGTGTTCTGTTCATTACAGTATGTTTTAAGCATAAAATCAACAATAGGTATTGTTAGATGTACTACTGACTAATAGGGATATGGCAGCCTGCTTAACAATCTGGGCTTCCTGTTCCTGTCATCGATATATATATCAACAAGTTATCTTAGTTTGTTTGTTTTAGCACATCATTATGGCTATTAATTGCACCACCTATTCAAGTGCGTTACTGAAAAATGTACAACTTTTCTCTGTAAGGTTACAAAAGGCCTAATCAGAGGTATAGTGGTTGCTGACAATATGTAGCTAAAAGAATGTACATAATTCAGATGTCGATTGAATGAACTGCTAACTCAATATTTATCATCAGGATCGACGGAGAAGTAAGAAACGGAAACTTGTAGAAATGCTATTTTCAAACTACTTGGTGAGTTCTTAATGATTGACGATTCCAACTTCAATCAATCAGCAATATATCTATTACAGTTGATGTGGCACTATCTCAATCCTAACGTAAGTAAACTTCATTAGTTATGATTTTTCACTATACCTTTAACAAATTATTATGAAATTATTCAATAGAGTACATGATCACTGATTGGCTGCAAGTGTCGTGTATGTTACTGATGTTGATGAAAATCAGTAGTATGTATCATCAATCAAAGGTGAAATACCTGACAGAAGAAGGTTAAGAAGATAGAAGGAATGAGAACGAGAACAGAGAATGATTAGTGTGGAATCAGAAGAACAATGAAGTCTAAGACGATTGACTAACATTTTTCATATGAAGTATTTACTGTATGATTTTCAGACTTTACTAAGATGTCCTATAATTTCGTATCCCTACTTGTGTTCTCGTTCACTAAGGAAGGTTAGTTGAAGATTAGTACTTTATAATTGTAACAAGATGTAAACTGAAAATATTACTGTATACTTAATCAATGCTTATTTTAAATATAATGGAACATTATCATTGAATAGAATATTCTATTAGTTGATTTATGTCAATAATACATCACTATTAAAATAAATTTAACTTACACTATCAGATGTATCCTGAATATTCACTGTTAATTCATGACCGTCGACTGAATCAGCTTTTGTGTAACTGTCACCTGAACACATAAATAAGTAGTTGATCAATAAAATGTATAAAAATAAAAAAAATTAGTTAGTTCAGTAAAACCTATACGATAGACCAGTTATTTTTCTATTTAAAGGTCCCTTGGTAACAAACATTAAATGAAAGGAACGTTTTAATCTTAAGTTCTGATGAAGTTAATGATAAGATTTATAGGAAATGAAGTACCAAGACATACATCACTTCGAACAATGACAATAGCAAAGTATATCAATTTGAAATACATTTATTGAATAAAGAAATGAATAAGTACTAATGGGGTGTGGTCTACTTATATCCATATAAGTAGTATATGGTGACGGTCAGACATAGAGTGTATTTTGGCAGAAGATCGACAAGGAACGAATAGGAATGAAGCGCAATCGGTACGAAAATGCATGAACAATGGAATTACAGAAGATGGACTGATATTTACAGAAGGAACAGTGAATATTTAGACAATTGTTTGTTATTTTGCAAATTAACTGTTTGCTGTATGATTATCAGAATTGAGTCTGTAAGTTATGCTGAAATATATTCGGTTGTCCCCACTCGTGTTCTTGTTCACTACACTAACTAGCTACTACTATTCAGTCTTAATTTAAGTCTTTTCTATGGTATATCATGAATAATTCTTTTATGGTTTACATTACGGACTGAATTTAATTAGAAAATCATTGAAGACGATAAAGAATTAGACGGCTGCTTTTTCCTAGTACAGAATTCTTCAGTACTATGTATTCGTGATCCCACAGAACCTAGGACCTTCAGATCTCTCAATAAACATTTATTCTTATAACTTTTAATCTAATACTCAAGGGGTTTTATTTGGAAATTTAATTCTTTCGCGACATTGCTCAACAGAACTTTCAGTGTTATTGCTGCGTACCTGCGCCATATAGATTACAGACGAACTCCATTATTCATAGATCGTCACCTGAACCTCATGAATTCCCCTACAAGAATTATATCTAGTGATTCTTAGTTTTCAGTGGTCTTACAGGGTGAGAGTTAACAGATGTAAGTACTTGACTCACAGTTACAAAGTAGAAAGTGAATCAAAACATAAATTACTTATTTTAGACGTTATGTATAATCAGTTAGATCTTAGGGCTTTCTGGTTCTTCAAGGTTTCTTAGAAAGTTACTTATACGTAGGGACGCAGTTATTTGTATAAGAATGAAACGATGTAATTATCTCTTTTCCAATACCCTCGGTTGTTTCAACAAACGAGTTAAAAAAACATATCATACTTACTCAGATAAGGTGCGTATTCCACAATGAAACGACGGGTTAAATATTTGACGACCACGGCTGTAGAATAATATAAACAAGAAATATTAGATAATTTAGGCTTATTACTTGTGTTGGTTGTCAGGATAAGCTAAATCTCGATCAGGGTAAATACGCACTGATATATATATATATATATATATATATATATATATATATATATATCGTTACTCTTAATGAATTAACATCTCTAAACACTTTGTTTCCATGTTAGATGGTTAAGGTAATTGAAATGTTTTATGCCAGTTGTCACTAGCTTTACATTTAATTCCTAGAGACAATCATTTGTGGTTCAAATAGCTCTGTGATATTACCATTTTTACTAAGACTTTAAAGACTTCATTGTTGAAGAGTGTCAGCTAGCACGAAATCTCAAGACAAACTTACTTCAGACACCTTTGAACAAGTAATAGTGTGACCATGACTTTTACCTTCATTCACGAAACATCCCTTAGATTGATTCAGATGTCAAATTTTATCCAAAATATCGGTCACTTTGTGAGTGGAATAGTAGATAAATAAAGTTGGTAGGGTGCGAACTGAAAGAATATTAAAACTCGAAATATAGCGGAAGACAGAAATTGAGTAACTATCTATCAATACCATTAATTTTGAGCCACATCACCCAAGATTTACAGTCACTTATTACGATCATCACATGGACACTAGTGTTGAGTCGGCTTCCGTAGAACTCCAACAGAGCCTCCAGAGGCTCATGAAGAGCCCCAGCCAATCAGAGTACGATGGAACATTCTAGAGTTCCAACGTGGCGTGATACTAGTGGTCGTTAATGAGTTGGCTGAAATAGGATGTTGATTTAACATACGCTTACATCTATAAATACCTATGATTTTCTGTAACAAGATTGAACCTTGCAGTAAAGTGTTTCTCTCATACTCGAGTCTTCTCTCTGGTGTTCAAGTCGGTGAATAGTTTGGGGGTACGGAACTAGCTTAGGATCTGAATATAGCGTTCAACTTGCAAGACGTATCACTAGTTAAGTTGTTTACACTTTCTGACACATATGCTAAAAAGTGATATTATGCTTTGTGATCATTTCTGAATCTCACTATTTCTTGCATTATTCTAATTTAATCTTCTTCTAGTCAATATAGTACATTAGGGTATACATTCAGTAATCCAAACTCACTTGGATAAATATCAGATATTGACAAATTCATTAGGATCCTACTTTTATTAGGACAAAACAAAAAGCTCATTTCAGTAGTTGAGATCATGAGTCATTTGAAGCTAGATCACCATAGAAAACCTGGAAGTACTGGACGGTCGTTTCGTCCTATTATGGGACTCCTCAGCAGTGCGCATCCACGATCCCACCTCGCGAGATTCGAACCCAGGTCCTATCAGTCTCGCGCGCGAATGCTTAACCTATAGACCACTGTGCCGGCTGATATTCAACGGTGTCAATTTCTGTTGCCATTATCTACTGAGGAGTCCCACAATATGATCAAACAGTCGTCCAGTGCTACCAGGCTTTCCATGGTAATCTAGTTTCAAATGACTCATGATTTCAGCTATGAAATTTAAAAGCATAAATCATTTTTCGTAATTCTCTAGAAAAAACATTCACCATTTATTGGACAGCATATTTAAGATGAGTTAAATATTGAACAGAAAGATAATATGATGTTGCCATTTTTTTTATATAAATCACTACATAATCCACAATGTTCAAATGAAACCGAAGCTATATTTCTTGACACTTTTTACACAGAAAAATGTTTTGATTACTATCAGTTTTAATAACATTGAGTAAACTTAAGTGGCCCTAGATCTGACTCCAGGTCGATCGTATGATTTTTATCTAAATATACATGTCTCCAATCCTAGTATAGACTTAAATCGTGTTAGTGAATAACAGAACTAAATATGTCAAATAAGAGAATGGATTTTGAATACATTTATTTCGTACAATGATTGATCAGAACAGAAAATCCGAGAGACGGAGAGAAGAAAGCGAAGAGGAAAGAGAAGCAAAACTAAATAACTTGCGATGGAAGTGAGTGAATTTATTATTTCTCATCTACATTTACACACAGATTATTAATGGAACATTTTTGACTGTAATTAAAACTGCGAACTCACTAAACTTACGATTTTAGCAAATATTTAATAAATTCAGAAATTTGGTTTAAAGGATTTTCTAAGATGAATTTAGTTCTCAAGTTATATTCGTCATAAGTTGATCTCATTATGATCGCCACTGAAAACCAGTACTCCCCAGTTGAAAACAATGCTCTTGCTTACTTACTTACTTACTTACTTACTTACTTACTTACTTACTTACTTACTTACTTACTTACTTACTTACTTACTTACTTACTTACTTACTTACTTACTTACTTACTTACTTACTTACTTACTTACTTACTTACTTACTTACTTACTTACTTACTTACTTACTTACTTACTTACGCCTGTTACTCCCAATGGAGCATAGGCCGCCGACCAGCTTTCTCCAACCCACTCTGTCCTGGGCCTTCCACTCTAGTTCTATCCAGTTTTTGTTCATTCTTCTCATATCTGTATCTATTTCTCGGCGTAATGTGTTCTTTGGTCTTCCTCTTGTCCTTTGACCTTCAGGATTCCATGTGAGGGTTTGTCTTGTGACGCAGTTGAGTGACTTCCTTAAAGTGTGCCCAATCCACTTCCACCGCTTCTTCCTGATTTCTTCCTCCACTCGATGGAATCTGGTTTGTTGTCTCCCACAGTAACTTGTTGCTGATAGTGTCTGGCCATCTGATCCGAAGTATATTGCGTAGACAGCTGTTAATAAACACTTGTTGTTGCGTTTGTGATAGAAGAGCCAGATCATCCGCGAAGTCTAAATCATCAAGCTGCATCCTGCCTGTCCACTATATCCCGTGCTTTCCTCCAGATGTTGACGTCTTCATGATCCAGTCAATCATCAGGAGAAAGAGAAAGGGTGAGAGTAAGCAACCTTGTCTAACACCAGTCTTTACTTCAAACGAGTCGGTGAGTTGTCCTCTGTGGACGGTTTGGCAGTTTAGTCCATCATAGGAGTTCCGTATGATATTGACTATCTTCTCAGGCACGCTTAATGCTCACTGTCTACTAATTAATGACATATTATTATTATTACACTATCTGATATTTTACACTGATCAACTTTTTTTTTATTTTTTCGATCTAAACTTCTTATGCTTAGTTTTCCCTCAATACTAGTATTATATGAATTGATTTACTTTCCTTTTTATCCATTTTCGTTAGTTAAGTTTGTGTGAAATGTAATGGTTAATACATTGTGTATAAACACCTTGATTGACTAACGGTGATCATTACCTTAAAAACTGACGTTTGAAAAAATTGGTGTTTGCATAGTGACAATTTCTCTTGGGCCGATCACTTTTACTAATATTAGCATGAAGATTCCTGAATTTAGACTATATAATCTGATAAGTAACCTTAATGGAATGAAACATAACGTGATCTGCTTAAATAAAATTTAGTTTTTTTTACTATGCTGATCCTTCCAGCTTTTCTGTAATAAGTTTGAATTTTTTCTTTTATTCTCGTAAGTGAAGAAAGTAATAGTTATACTACATCTTAAGATGGGAGATGTTTGGACATTGTACAATTTGTTATCCATATCATAAAACGGATTTATCCGAATAAAGAATAAAAATCAGGAAGAACTAGTCAGTCCTTTTGTCTTACGACGAGATTTTATCGAATTCAGACTCACTGACTGAAAGTTAGTAGGATAATGAAGAAGAAGAAGAAGAAGAAGGTCTGATCTATAGCTGGACGATGAATGCAAAACACTCACGACATGACAATTGAATACATTCGAATCACAGGAATAATCTTATTCAAGCTTAGTATCCGTAATGAACAAATAACCGTGATATCTACTAACTGTAATGCTGATGACGATTTACCAATCAATTTACTCCAGTTCGCCCAAAAATATGATTTTTATCGTAATGTTAGATCACCCATGTTAAATCTACGGCTAATTATAATTTCTCAATGAAACTAGAAATTTATTAAATTTGAAATGAATGTCATCACTAATCAGTTAAATATTAACTTCCAGAGGTTAAGCGCTCGAGTGCAAGACTGATAGGGCCTGGGTTCGAATCTAGCGAGGCGGGATTGTGGATGCGCACTACTCAGGAGTCCCACAATAGAACGAGTTAGTCGTCCAGTGCTTCTAGGTTTTTCATGGTGATCTAGCTTCAGTTGACTCATGATTTCAGCTATGAAATATCAACTTATCAAGTGAGCATCAGGTTTCGCTTTGCCGATATTTACAATTATTCTGAAATGTTCATAACATTATGCAGATGTGATTGCTATAACAGAATAAAACTGGTACCGATAATTGAGAACGAGACGTCAATATACACACACTGACCCTATGTTCAGGAACTAGGAGTTTAATCACACTCTTTGTATGTCATAGACAATATTCACTAAAACCTCATAACTTTAGAAGCGAGTTTTAAGCTAACCAAATTATTCACAATAAAGTAATGTAATGGAATCGATGGACAATTTTCACAGTAATGAAAAAGTCCCTATATAAAAATCACTATTTTACCTTTTTTTCGAGATAAGAACAGTTTTCATTTGTGAAGTAGATCCTATTAGAAGGTACATTATATTTAACATCTACCCATTTGAAACAATGTCTGTAGTATGTTTTCAAACACTTTTCAGTTAATTTAAATTCTACGTAATATAAACTGATTGACTTATGGTTAGAAATTAATCTTCAGTTTTATATTTTAAAATCAGTTTAAGAAATAAACAGTTATTCATTAATACCAGGAGGAGTTTTTGTGGATATTATAGTAATTTTAATGGTTGAGGACATAAGGAAATCGAAGCTAGAATACTATGGAAAACCTGAGAGCACTGGACGGCCGTTTCGTTTTATTGTGAGATTCTCCAGCAGTGCGTATCCACGATCTCACTTCCCGAGATTCGAACCCAGGACCTATCAGTCTTGTTCTAATTGACTCATGATCTCAACTATTGAAATCACTATAATATCCACGAAAACCTTTTGTGATATTAGTCAACATATGCTAACTAGTGACTGGCTTCAAGAGGTATTTCCTGGAGTGCTAGTGAGAAGCAGTGACTAGCGAAATGTAACCAGGTCCATTGTGAGATAGTAGCTCACTGAAGACAATGGTGGATGTGTCCTCAATTTTGTGGATTGGTTGAAGTTAGACATTGACACCGTTGGATACCAGCACAGTGATCTAGATGTTAGGCGTTCTCATGCGAGACTGATAAGTTCTGGGTTCAAATTTCATGAGGCGAGATCGTGGATGCGCACTCCTGAGGAGTCCCACAATAGGATGAAACGACCGTCCAGTGCCTTCCGGGTTAACCATGGTGATCTAGATTCAAATGCATCATAATCCCAACTATTAAAAAGTTATTCATTAGTTTTCTAATATTCAATTACCATATGGATTACTCAGCCAATCAACCATACTCGTCATAGTGCTTGGCATCAGTATACATCATCTTAACTTTCACTTAATTGCTCTAATGAAAGATACAAGTAAATAAATAAATAGTTCACAAGGGGTTTTTTGTGGAGATTTAGTAATTTTATAGTTAAGATCATGAGTCAATTGAAGCTAGACCACCGTGGAAAACCTGGAAGCACTGGACGGCCGTTTCGTCCTATCGATTAAGGGCTCTGACTCGAGACTGGTAGGTTCTGGGTTCGAATCTCGCGAGAGCGGGTTCGTGGATGCGCACTGCTGAAGAGTCCCATAATAGGACGAAACGGCCGTCCAGTGCTTCCAGGTTTTCCACGGTGGTCTAGTTTCGATTGACTCACGCTTTCAACTATGAAAAATACTAAATCTCCACAAAACCCCTTTTGATAAATAAATAAATGTCGAATTTAATTAAATAATTGAATTTTGTTATTTTGTTTTTTTGTTTTCTATAAAACATAATATAAAACATCTGTTTTACTTATTTATTTTGATTCTATTATAAACAAATGATTCTAATAGTTTAATGCAGTAAATCAGTATGTGTTCATCTTGAAAAGTAACAATTTAACTTCATTTTCTCAATATATATAGGTGAATAAGCATGGGGATTTGTAGAGAATACAGTATTTTAATATTTGAATGTATGAATCGATCTAAGTTAGACCGTCATTAGAAACCTGTAGGCACTGGACAGCGGTTTTGCTCGTAAGACCGAAAATCTTGGGTTCGAGTCTCGAGTGCGAGATCAAAGATCCTCACTTCTGAGGAGTTCTATACTAAGATGAGAAGTCTATCCAGTGCTTCCAGATTTTTAATGGTGGTCTAGCTTTATCACAAGGGGTTTTTTGTGAAGATTTCAGTAATTTTATGTAGTTTAGATCGTAAGTCAATTGAAGCTAGATCACCGTGGAAAACCCGTAAGCACTGGACAGCCGTTTCGTCCTATTGTGGGACTTCTCAGCAGTGCGCATCCACGATCTCGTCTCGCGGAATTCGAACCAAGCACCTACCAGTCTCGCGGCAAAGCACTTAACCGATAGACCACTGAGCCGGCATCCAGCGGTGTTAATGTCTAACGTCAGTCAATCCACGAAGTTACGCTACCAACTTCCATTGTAACAAGGTAGATGCCTGTCTATACCTGACATGGATTAGTTCCACTGGCCGCGACTTCTCACTAGAACTCCAGGAATTACCTCATGGAGTCAGTCACTATTGAGCATATGAATAATTACTTATCATTGCATAGTGGATTAGCAAAATATGAAAATTATACATTATGTACATCATTGGCATAGGTTCTTTATGTTGTCCTTTACATACTCTATTATTATTATTTTAATTTTGTTGTTATTTTGACTGCCCTCCGATTTCCTTTTTGTTCTCTTCATTCCAATCTTCTGCTGCCAGTCATTTCACTCCCGACTGGTGCTGTATACTACGTTTATCAGTATTATACATCACAATATGATGAGGAATTTCGGTATTAAAATATAAGTTCGTTGATTTTATTACCCCTTTTTTCACCTCATATTTTTTAAGCGACACTGAAGTACTTTTATTTGTTTTAATTAGTTTATATGTATGGGTACAGAGTCAACAAGATATTGCAACAATTTATCTATTATGATTTAAACACTATAAACATAAATTTGATTTCATTTGACACACATGACGCTGATCACCACTCAATGATCAATCAATTGTGATTACATCTAAGTCCTACAGGAGGTAGGTCGCGGCCCACATAGCTCAGTGGTAACGTCTCTGACTGTGAAACTGGTTGAAACGGGATCGAATCCATCAGGGAGCATCAGTTCCCCTAAGTTCGCAGATACACCTTGCTGACGAGTGCCAAGTAGCACGAAACCCGGGTCCAGGGTTTCCTGTTGACCACCTCCAACCACCATCTTATCTCAACGTAGTGCACTCAGTGTCGAGCTACCTAAACTAGTGACCGCATTGCAACTTGATCGATAGTATTCAATGTCCACTAAGAAGGACTTGACACACATGACATTGATCAACTCCCAGTGATCAAACAATTGTGATCTCATTTTATACATTCTGTGACAAATTTAATTTGTGATTGCCTGTCACAATGATTAATTTTATTTCCGACGGAACGTAGCCCGAGGTTTTATATGATCAATGAACAGTTTACCAGATCAGATCTATACATATATACTTACATTTCTTCTCATTCTATAGTTTCTCTACATTTCAAATGACTTAACATCTCACATTAAGAGATTACAAATTCATCATCTTTACATAGTTGGGTAATCGTATGGAAAATAATCGTTTTGTAAACCCTATTAACATATGATAATTTAAATATTTGTTTATTTCCTTGATGAATTTTAGATCTGATTAGGGGGATTATTCATTATTTCAATTGCTAACATGTTTCTGAATATAATTTGCTTTTTTATAAAAAAAACATATCGTTTACTATTCACTTGATATTATTTGTTTGAATCTTCCCATATAATGCTTGTGAATTAAGACCATATCTAGGCAATAAGCACAGTATGCACATATGCCAATAAGAGACTGATTAATTTCAGTCCCAAAAATCAATGGGAAGATTCAAACAAACAATACTAAGTGAATTCAAACTTCACGCTAATGTACAAGCGAGTGGCTATCAGGACTCAGTAGCTAAATGGATAACATAATGGCGTTTAAAGCGAAAGGTACTGGGTTCGAGTCCCAAAGTGAACATCAACTCTGAGATGCAGGTACATCCAGCTGATGAGTCCCAAATAGGATGAAAAGCCTGTCCTGGATTTCACTGCTAACCACTGTCCATCTTTACTTATATTGTTTACTACTTCTAAAAATCAATAATTTCAATGATATTTTATCACCATAATAACTTCAAAAATCTTCAAGATGATTTATCATCAATATCAGATCTAACTCTAATTGACGATGTATTTCAATCACTCAATATTTAACAATAATACTAGACGGGATCATGTATGCACCCTACTCAGGAGTCCCCCAATAAGACAAAACAGCTATCTACTGATTCCAGATTTTCCATGGTGATCTAGCTTCAATTAACTCATGCTCTCATTTATATAAAATTACTAAAATCTCCACAAAACCCCCATTCTGATAATACTATAAGTGATAAAAAAATTACACCGATCGATATACATCATACATTATTATAGGCTTACCTGACTTCCCGGAACCATTCATACCAATAATAGATATATTAATTGTATTCACATTTGCAACTGATTTAGTATATAATCTCTGCATTTTTTTAAAAAAATTTATTTAAAAACTATATATATATATATCCAAAATGTTCTATATATTCAAATCTAACTAATGACTTGGTTACTATCGGTCATGGAAACATAAATATATCTGCATAGAAACAGAAATAAATACTTAATTATATTTCATAACTAATCCATTTCCCAAAAAATTGACCAATTTAACTATTTATTAACGTATTCAATATCTTATCTATTTCATATATACCTATACATATATATATATATATATATATATATATATATATATATACATATAGGGGTACATCATTATGCCTGAATTTTTACTAGTTGCTATAATACTTATCGATTAATTTCAAAGTGAAAAATTTATCCCATTCACGTGGTTTCTGTGTGACTTCGAACCAATCAAAAGTGATGGAATAATTTTCAATGGACAAATAAAATACATTTGTGCTTATATGTGCTTATATGTGCTTATATATATATATAGGTATTATTATTCAAACTATTATTATTATTATCAATTCCTGTGCTGCACAAATGTATATTAGTAAGATGCTAACTAACAATGTATCATAGAAACATAAAAGAAGAAGAAGAAGAATATTCAGAGTGGAAGAAAAAAATGGAGGAAACAAAAAAAAGAGAAAAGCAAGAAAAGAAATTTATATCCAATATAATGATAGATACAAAACATAAAAAATAACAGTTGTAATCAATTTTTTTTGTTTATTTAGGTCCAATAATTAGTAACATTCCTTTCAAATGAAATTTGGTGCATCCATCTTTCGTTATATATATAGGATATGAACATAAAGATTTTGTGCTATTCAACAACTACAAAACACACACACCACATGTTTACACATGATATAATTAGTGGAACATATACATTCCCCTTAAAAACATATATATATATATATATATATATATATGTATGTGTGTGTTGGTATACATGTACATAAATGGAACGGATATATAAGTAGTGGTAGAATATTCAGGAATGTTGAAAAAATTTGGATCTTTATATTAGAGAAAAAGAACAAACAAACAAACAAACAATGATGATGATGATGATGGTTTGATTTATCAAACATTTGAAGATTTGATTAGAATCTAGCTATGTATTATTTTGTCTTCAAAATGAAGGGTAAATTGTGAAAATAGTTTTCTATTTCAATGATTTATCGTATTTATGTCTATGAATGTAGTAGTACATATTGATTATGTTTGTTTTGAATAAAACATTAATATCAGAAGGAGTTTTTGTGGATATTATAGTCATTTTTATAGTTGAAATCATGAGTCAATTGAAGCTAGATCACCATGGAAAAACTGGAAACACTGGAAGGCCGTTTCGTTTTATTGTGGGACTCGTCAGGAGTGCGTATCCACGATTTCGCCTGGCGAGTTTTGAACCCGGAACCTATTGCTCTCGCACGCTAGTGTTTAACCTCTAGAATATTAACACAAATAGGGCATCAATTATGTTCACTTTTTAAAGTTTGTGAAATATTCCTTTATTTCAGGAAAAAATACCAATTTTATTTTTAAGCTGTACAGATCAACTGCTCATTTTATGATGATTAACATGAATCTAAAAAATTATCGATGTTAGACCACCACCGAAAACCTGAAGGCACTGGACGGCCGTTTCGTTTTAGTACTCAGTACACACCCATGATTCTGCAAGGGGGAATCAAACTCAACAATCTCTACAACCCTGTACTGATAACTTGATTCCGTTTAGTTTTTAATAATAATAAAATTCCAACAGTCAATCTGTAATGCGTCCAGTAATCTAAATGATTCATTTCTGATAAAGGTCAATTAGATTCATGAATTTTATAAGAACGCTTCCAATTACCTAACTGATACATTTGATCATCGCTTCATTTTGAATGAACAGAATTATTAAATTCTTCTTTCAAACCTAAGCTAATACTAATTATCAATCAAGCTGAGATTTATTAATTAACATCAATGAGGAATAAAGTAGGTGAATAGTAATGCTCTTAAAATTAGGGATAAAAAATAACATATTATATTTCCTTAAAAAAGCTTGGATCAGATTATCTGGCGAAACGTTGGATTTACTTCAAACTCATTCGCTGAGATTTTACCAATATATTATTCCTTTTTTAATGTCTTACATCAACTCGGCGCCCAAATACTGTGAAACTATTCGTTCTATGAGCTGGGTGGTTTGATCGTGGAGCTTTCAAAATCACCCACCTGAGCTACAAATCTTCTCCACTATTCGTTCTAATTTAGATGAAATTTCTTATATATTACATCAATGACTAATCAGTAGGCAAAATGATGTATTTATCTGTGTTAGAAACGAAGATTAACTTCAGTGAAGTGTTTTGAAACGATAAAATTAGAAACTCAAACCATACAAAACGCAAGAACGAGATAGAGAGTGAAGGAATTATTTAAACACTCTTAATATTAATCTATACTTTGATGGTTTTATACTAACTAACGAAAGATCAATCAAAAGCGTTTAGGTCACTAAGTATTAGGACATATTAATGAAAGACAGTTTTTTTTGAGTCAAATCAATTTCAAGTTATCTATCTAATTTCAATTTGTGATGAGAATTTTGTCACTATCAGATTCAGTTCAAAGTTCCGTTTCTCTAAAATCTATAAAAATAGGAACATATACATCAAAAAGAAGAAAATGAATCGATTCAGTTATGTAAAATGATCTCATATATTTTATTATTCTTTATTGTTGGTGGACACGGAAAGTTCATCTAGAGGAGTTGGAAAACCCTGATTCCAAACCAATGGTGCACATTGGCTCCATTATCTTGAGAATACTAGTGGCTTATGAATCAATCGTTAGTCACCGGCTACCATGGGACTGCATCTCCTCATAATGCTCCACTGCCTTGTGGATCAGACCTTTAGGTCAAAAGCTCCGGGTGTGGCCTCCTAAGAAAAACACCTGTTTCGGTTTGGGCATCCGGGCAGTATCATAGCCCTCACACAAATCAAATGAGATTTGTGTGGCGCATATATATCTGGTAACCCTTTGTACCAATACTTATACGTTTAAATAAAATTAAAAAAATTCTATATTGGCAATTAAAATTTAAAAAAAAAACAGCTATGTATTTCTAATGTAATAAAAAAGAAATCACTTAGAAACTAATTTGTGATGAATACAAATGTGATAAAAAAGTAATCGGCAAGAAAAAATAAGATCCTGATTTAACTTTCAATAAACTATCAGCTGATTCGATGTAAATATACAAAAAACAAACACATTTTACAATCTTTAGTGTAATAACAATAAGTAAACCGTTATATTTTTTTTATAGAAAATATGAACAATATACTACAAAATCATCTAGTGTAACTTGAACAAGTCACAAGTAACAGTTATCATTAATAGGGGTATCTGGAATATTGACAAGTAGATTTATTACAGTTGGATATGTTAGGAAACAATGTAGTTATGAAAATTGATTATAGTAATTTTAAGTATTTAAACAAAATACTAGTTCATACGTAAATTGTATTCGTCACAGATTGATCTCAGTTTTGGTGCTATTAAAAACTGAGAAGTTCCAGAATGCTGGTTTGTCCTAGGATATGAATCCTCAAAACAACACACCTACTAATTCACCGGGATATTCTGAAGTTGAAGGGTTAGTTTTTGGGACCAATCGGTTGTCACTCAATGATACTGATGGTATATAGTGTTACTGTTATCAATGTCAACTGTTTCAGTTTACGTTAACTCCATCAATTACAATTCAATTACAATTCAAAATGATCCTGAAGTAACTCACCAATAAGCTAGCTACTATAGTTTAATTAAAGGGGTTTTGTGGAGATTGGTTAAGTCTGTAAATTGCATTCACCATAATCTAATTTGACGATTAATTCTATCATTGGATAATTGCTTATCCTTGGCTTGAAATCTTTAGAAACAGTGATGAACCATAGACTCCTCATGAGAATAATATAAAAGTTTCCAAATCATCTTGATGCGTTCACAACACTCAGTATGAATCGAACAGTTCATATTTTTACCTATCTATAAAACTTAACTCAAATATTAATATTACAGATTTAAATATTCCTCAGTTCAATAACCTTCTAATACTAATGAAATTTTATATAGTTGAAATCATGAGTCAATTGAAGCTAGACCACCATGGAAAACCTTGAAGCACTGGACGGCCGTTTCGTTCTATTGTGGGACTCCTCAGCAGTGCCGGCTAAGTGGTTTTAACGTTCACGCGTGAGACTGATAGGTCCTGGGTTCGAATCTCGTGGGGTGTCGGCTTGAATATGCACTACTGAGGAGTCCCACAATAGAACGAAACGACCGTCCAGTGCTTCCAGGTTTTCCATGGTGGTCTACATTCAATTGACTCATGATTTCAACTATATAAAATTACTAAAATCTCCACAAACCCCCCCCCTCTGCTAATGAAATTGTTAGTGAAAATCAAGCAGTCTAAAATAGATTTTACATTATCTGCAACACCAAAGACTATCTTTTAACGAAACGCATCACTGATGACCATGGGAGTTATACAGAGAATACGTAACGAGTTTTGGCTATTTACAACTGTTGAAAAAAACAATATGTTCTTGTCCAGGCTTGTGCCCAAAAAAAGCAACATTTAACTTGATGTTCTAGATCCACGTACATTGGTTGAGCACATTTTCTACAATACGACTGCTGAGTTTCTAAACCACATTATTACTTTTTAATAAAAGCTTGTAGCAACCTACTTTTATGGCGAGAACGACATTGCAATAATTAAAACAACTACTATTATAACCAATTGTACCAGTGATTGTTTTACTACACCTGTTTGTTTCAGTGTACAAAACATACACTTTCTTCCGTTGCCCGTGACCTTGCACCAACTCAAGTACGCTCGGTAGTTCGGCTAGTAAACTTTGGCAAGATCTCGGTATTCTTTCGATACCACGAGATCGCCAACAAATATATCTTATTTCAACCGTCAACAGCCTTCTGGTTTATGGCCTACGGAGGGATCCAACCTAATATCTGGCACGTAATCTTCCTGTAGTGGTGATCATAGTCAATCGTGACTCGACACCAACTACAAGCTTAACTCTGTCGAGCTATCAAAAGCAAGATAACTTTGAAACTCTTGAAACTAAGTTACTTAAAGTACACCTTATTCAGTCCAAAAAATGTGAGGACTCCAAGTGATTTCCTCTAACCAGTGTTCAATAAACAATGATAAATTACATC